AATTTATTGGATTATTGCATGTATATATATGATCATCATATCATACACCATATATATACATATACATATATATACATATGTATTGGCAACATAAAGTTTTAAAGTAAGTATAAAAATAAAACAGAATTTTCTATACTATATTTCTCACATATAAATATGTGGTAGGCAGCATTCAGCAGGATGGCTATGTGTTTCTTTGGGAGAATTCTATTATAAATAACAAAACGTTATACTTATATACAGACTTTTCCATGATCCATGAGAATATGAAAGTACTTACTCAGGCATTTTGGTGGTTCTGACCACTGACCATTCCTACATGTTATTCACCTGTTACCCTGAAGTTGATATAAGTTCTGACACTGATATTTAACTGTTGAATAAGGAATGTATACTGTTAATGGGAATGAAGTGATGTCTCCATTTTCAATAGGTGGAGGGGCCCACATTTTCCTTTAACATCTAAAAAACATCATTTATTTGATTTATTGAGAGAACTCATCCAAATACATGTTTAAATAAGACAAATAGAAACTGACCACTTTATATAATATCAATAATTTTGTGATTTCTGAGAAGGAAATTTTAATTATATAAATTGCTACATTTTTAAATTTTTTTTTTCATTTCTCACTGAAAGCACACACAAACAATTAAGAAATATGTTTACTTTGTAGGATTCCAAGATCGATAAATGTCTTTCATAGTGAAAAAGTGCTGAACAGATAGCTGAGACAATTAGAGAAAGTCTCTTTTTTTTAATATACCTTATGCTGAGGAGTTAATTGGGTCTTTACTCATTTTTTCCTTGGTTTTTATTTTTGGAAGATACAGATTTAAATAAAGATAAATGTTTAAAAACAGTCTTCACTGTAAGACTTTTTTTAAATTTTATATTGTTTATTAAACCTTAACTGCGTACACTGATGCATGTATGGGTTTCAGTGCACTGAATTGATATACAATGTGAAATGCTTACATTGAACTAAGTAACACATCCATCACAGTTATACTCTTTTATTAATAGTTTTGAAATGTACCATTGCATCATGCATATTAATTATACTTACTTTAGTTTTGATACTTCAGTTTTATAATCATTTGTTGTCAACTAATTTGATAATCATAAACTATAAATGCATGTACTTTAACATAAAGTGGTCACCTTCAGGTCAATCATTCTCTAATATTTCTACTTGTTACAAACATTTGATTTATATAGGTAGGGAAATTATGCTACTTGCAAATACAATTAGATTCCATTGGAACTAAAAATTGAATGGATAATGATAGAAATATCTGACAAAACCTATATTTAACCCTTTACAATAGATTTGGTTCTTTAAAAATAATCACAAAACATACCAGGATCTGAGAGAAAATATTTCACTTACTGATAGAACTGCATTTTGGAGGAGTGGACCAGCCACCTGCTGCACATGCAATATTGTTCTCATTATTCTGAAGGCTGTAGCCTTCATCACAAGCAATTTGTACAGTGTCACCTTCCAGGTGTGTTTATCCTGAAGAAGCAGAATGACCATTTTCCACAAAAGGAAAGAAACACAGTCCTAAGGGCCAGAAATTGATTAATATTCAAGTTGGAAGTGGAAAGAAAATTCATTTTATATTTTAGAAAGGTTAGAAAGTTTTCAAAACTGAAATAAAATGTAAAATCTTTTAAAAGAATTGAAGACATACTACTATATATGAGGTGAAATATATATGTATATATCAAAGAAACATTGTTCTTGTAAGAGAAATGTTATGTTTATAAATTTTTCTAGGTATAAGATGTTCATTCATACATGTCTGTTCCTCTCTTAATTCTCAAATAAATGTAACTTACAGGAGAAAGACCATTACTCTCTCCTTTACTGGCTCATCGGTTCTGTCTCCCTTGTTTTTCTTTTTCAATACACCTATCATCATTTGGTCCTGCTGTCTACATTCATTGAATAGATAATATATCCAGAATATAAAGGACCAATGAAGTGATTTATGAAAAATGTGGTAGCAAAAATATTAAATCTTACCTTTTAATATTTGAAATAACAGTAAATTAAAAGCAATATTACTGGTTACTAAAGAAGTACCGTATATATGTGTATATACATGTATACTTATATATGCCTTTATTTATGTAAAATGACTTTTTTTAAAGGAAAAATATGGTCAGATTGCTACCTGACCAAAAGAATATTAGGAATCATAGAAAATAAATATTAGTAGCGAAATACATTAATCATCAGCACTTTCAATAAAAATATTTTAATATGTAGAGTACTTCCAAATAACACAAGAAAGTTGACTATTTTTCTTTTTATTTTCATAAAAGGCATTCAAAATAAGACTAAGCACTACATCTCCCAACTTTTCTGGCCCCTCCTAATTGTCCTGTAGAAACTTGGAAAAATGGCTTATATTTGTTTTCCTCATATGGAATACCATGTTTTAGTTTTGGAAAATCACAAAATCCACTGGAAAAAGATAAATTAAACTAAAGAATTAAATTCTATTATAAATTAGTGAATTAGTAAATCAAATTTTAATCATCTCATTGGTAAATTTTTCTTTCATTTTCCTTAAAAGCTTTTAGCTTAAAAGCTTTCTAGTATGCTCAGTATCCAGGAACAAAGAGAAATCTTCAATTAAGAGGACAAGAGTATTTGAGAAGGCCATTGTCAATGAAAATGAGATTTACATATTGCAGTTGTGAAATATAAACTCTTTTGCAATATTTTCAAGAAGAAAGCCTCCACAACAATTTAAGAATGAGTGTAAATTTAAGAATTTAACAATTTAAGAGTGTATGAGCAGCAAACCTCCCTGAACTGCATACTGTGGTAGAGGGATGATGGAGTGTGGTAGAGGGTTAACAGAGTGAGGTAGAGAGATGACACAGTGTAGGTGGAGGGATGACAGAGTGTGGTAGAGGGATGATAGGGTGTGGTAGAGGGATTATAGGGTGTGGTAGAGGGATGATAGGGTGTGGTAGCAGGATGACAGAGTGTAGTACATGGATGATAGGGTGTGGTAGAGGGATACCAGAGTGTGCTTTGGTCTCAACTCATTTATTTTCTCTGTGCTTCTCATTGATAATCATAATAGGTATCCCTACCAGAAGTCTCTGCCCTATTTTTAATGATACAGTAAAAATACAGGGTCAGTAATTTCTTTTTTTATTTATTAATATCATCATTTTGAATATTTTCTGATTACAAAGCTAATATATTTTCATCAGAAATAATTTAGAGAGTACAAAGAATCACTAAGAACAAACCTGACCAGGACAAAGTTACAGTGAAATTTCTCAGGAATTTATTTCTTTCAGTGTAGTGTGTAGAAATGTATCTGTACATGTGTGTATGTACACTGTAGATTCTCCATTTCCACAGGTGCTGCATATGTGGATTCAGCAGAAATGGATCACCGATACTCAAATAAAAGAAAAACTTTAAAAAAAACTGTGACAATACAAAATAATAGTGTACCAGCTATTTACATGGCATTTACATTGTGTTATTGAAAGTTATTGAAATAACTTTGAGGTTATGAAAAAATAAACCTAGACCCACTCAGATGTTATTAATTGGTGATTTAGGTGATTTATTCACATCTGTGCAGGGGGCCGTTGTTCTAAGGCAAGGGGCCCTGAAGTGCTGGGTTTTTGTCTTTTATACCTGTTTATCTGCATAGCTCAAGTGAACATGAGGGGACAAGGAACATTGGCAGGGTTATAGCTTGGTTGTCAATGGATATGTCTCTAATCACAATGGTTATGACTACATAACAATAATTGATCAATGGATACATCTTAAACCACTATGGCTATGGTTATACAACAGTAATTAATCAAGCCTTGGTGAGTTTTCCACCATTGTTCATCTACTGAGCAAGCTTCGGTGAGTTTTTCACCATTTTTCATCTACTGAGAACTTGGGGGTTTTGTGAAACTTGGGACTTTCTGTGCCTCTGAATTCTGGAGAGCATGGGATGGTAGGTGGGAAAGCCCTTAGGGCGAGGGAACGGGAAAGGGTGGGGGAACAGGAGTTTGCCCGTAGGCTGGGGGAATAGGAGAAAGAAGGGGGACCTGGGGGAAAAGGAGCTCACAACAGTATAATGAGCAATGTGGAGAAAATTTAAAGTATATGGGAGATTGTGCATAGGCTACCTGCAAATACTATCCTATTTTATATAAAACATCTTTGGATTTTTGTATCTGCTGAGGATGAGGAGGGTCCTGGAACCAATTCTTGTTGGTTACTGAGGGACTGTGGTATATATGTATGCAGATACTTTTGCATACATTTGTGCACCCTATGGTACAAGATATCTTAAAATAATTCTGAATATGTGTGAAATCTTTATCCATTTATACTCTATCTTTTTGTGTTTGTAAATTTAGTGATATTAGTGGACTTTGTTTTCAGGAATATTTAGATCCACAGCAAAACTGCGTGGAAGGAACAGAGACTTCCTATATATCGGTATATAAGAGAATTCTAGAAGAAAGTGTTGGAAAACTTTTATAGATATCGTCCTAGGGAAAAAAAATTATAAAGAAGATCTATCTCAATTGCAATCACAGCAACAACAACAAAAAATAAACAAATGGGGCCCGATCAAACTAAAATGTTTCTGCACAATTAAGGATATAATCAATAAAGTAAATAGACAACCTAAGGAATGGAAAAAATATTTGCATACTACACATTCAATAAAGGGCTAATAACTAGAATCTACAAAGAACTAAAGTAAATTAGAACTAAAGCAAGAAAAAATTAAACAACCTCATTACAAGTGGCCAAAAGACATGAACAGAATAAAGTTAGTCTAATGGCCAAAAAACACATGAAATTCTAAACTTACTTATTTTTTCTTTGATATCTCAGTGTACTATACAACATACAGAAAACCATATAGTTGTCACTGCTTCTATATATTTTAATTTACGGATAAGTATTCCAGTGTCAAACAGTGGTAACCAGTCATTTTGGTACATTTATAATGAATAATTTGGTTTATTTTAAGGTATTTTTGAGAAGACATTTCATTATAACTTGAAACTATTCTATCATTTTTGTTTGAAATACAATAGAAATCAGAAAAACATCAGACATCATGTTTGTCAGTTTTGAGTCAGTGGGAGTGAGAAACAGAAGCCGGCCCCGCGTGTAGGGGAACAGCGCCTGTTTATTCACATCTGGGGTATTCCACCAGCCCCTCCCGACACACTGCACGAAATGATTGCACTGCTGTCTGTGCCTTATATCCCGGTTTATATGCAAATTCAATGACATCCTCTGTTTTGGCATAATGTTTCGTGCTATTTTTCCATTTTAACTGTATGTTATTTTTATTCAGCTTTTGTTCAGTTATTACACATGGATCTGAAAGTAAAAAAAAAAAAAATCATCTTCCAGTTTTGAACTCATACAAACTGCCTCTTCATGAATATTTTAGGATAAAATAAAATGACAAAGTAATCAAAATAGCTAATACTTACTAACTTGTACCACATACTGTTTTCAGCATTTTACTCTTTAAATTTTACAACTTCTCCCTCACACAACTCTTCCTATTTCATATATAGGAAACCGAGGTAAAAGGGAATTCAGATACACTTCTCCAAGGTCGCACAGCCCATCAGCTGGGGGCCATGAATGTTGACCCTGGCAATCTCTTTCCAGAGCCTGGGTTCTTCTTCCCCGAGACACGTGGCATCCACACCAGTGACTTCTTATCAAGGAAGATTATGGTATTATGTATACTGGGGTCACAGGTTTTCATCTTTCTTTCTCCATTCAACTGTTAGCAGTGACTGTAAACACTTCAAATTTTGTCATATTTTCCTTGTTGAAACTTAACTTTATATTTTCTCTTATACCCACAATGTAGAAAGAGAAGTATAAGAAGCCATAACCTTTCTAAAAGGTAGTCATCAATTAAAATGAAACTATAACATACATATGTATATATCTGTTTCTATGTTTAATCTATTGCTATCATCTATTTTCTATGGTAAAGAGAGGTTCGTCACTGCATGGATAAGCTCACAGAGTGAACGAGAATCTCTACATGATCACGAACAAATTACTCTTCCTCACTGTGCCCTCAGCTGTAAAATCAGTGAAACAGTGTGACCTCCCACAGAAGTTTTCTTTCTTACAGACATTAGGACGCTTCACGTTTATTGCTATTGCAATGTGACAATAAGCAATATTTTCATATAATAATATCATATTTAAGCCATTGCCTATGTTTCCATTGGGTTGCTATTGCATGGTAGAAATTCTTACATGATAAGAATTTTAGTTTTGGAATATATTATTGACTTCTTTTTGACTGAAGCATTTTGTGCTCAAATCTAACCTTTACTGATATCAGTATGTTTTTAGAAATCTTCCCAAATCATATTTGATGATTTGGTATGATCAAATTATAATGTATTAATATTTAATACATTCTTCAAACTATAACCTAAATAAACTTCTTAAAATACAACATGTGATTTTTGAAATTCAAAAGGTTTTCAGGGATCTTCAGTACATTTTGGGAACTTTAACATTCAAAAATATATATTATCTGAACTTTAAGTATTTCTCCAAACATATTTTCCAGAACTTATTTAAATTTACTGCTGGAGGGAAATTTTTCACTCATTGCTTCAATATATACCATACATATATTTAGTGTTTTACCGGACACTGCCTTTTTCCCTATGATGCTCTGTTTGAATGCACTTTGCTTCTTTAGGTTTGAAAATCGAAAATAAAATCATGCCTCTGCTGCAGAACTGATTTCATGTCATTAGATAATTATAATCCTTTGCTGTTCTTAATTCTCAGAAAAGGTAACACTTTTGCTGGAAAACATGTTTTAGGATTCTCTGTCTCCCAGTCAATCAAACTTAAGACTCAGAATTTATCTTTGAAACTTAACACTTATTATTTTATGAAATCTAGTTTGGAGATAATTCTGGGATATTGATTTTTAGAGTCTTTCTTGAGGATTTTCATTTTCCCTTTCAGTACCATCCTGCCACATGTTTTTAGATATAGATAGGATTTTCTATAGCAGTGGACACACAAGGAGGGAACAATAACTAAGGTTTGGTCCACAGTATTGTTGTTAGGTCAAGCAGAGGGTAAAGAGGCATCAAGGTGGGCGGAACCTGTGACTCATTGGGTAGGGCTCCTGTGGTCCCAGCTCCTTGGGGAGGCTGAGGTAAGAGAATCATCTAAGCCCAGGAGCTGGAGGTTGCTGTGAGCTGTGACGCCATGACACTCTACCAGGGCGATTAAGTGAGACTCTGTCTCTAAAAAAAAAAGAAGAAGAAGAAGAAGAAGGTACCTATGGCTCAAAAGGGTAGGGCACCGGCCCCATATGCTGGAGGTTGCAGGTTCTAACCCAGGCCC